CCAATGATACAACTCTCAGAAACTGAAGAATATAAAATTGAGAAACCAAACGAACAACAAAGTGATGAGCTGAAAGTCGAAAAAATGGAAAAACACGAAAAGAAAGAGGAAACTACTTTTAACACTGAAGAACTATTAACACAAGAAGATGTGGCGGTGACAACAGCAGGCGAAAAACAACAATATTCGCTCATTGATGTTTATGAGAGAAAAGAAGAACCTTATAAACACAAAAGTAGACTCTACATGGTGTTGTGGGGAATCATATTTTATTGCTGTCAACAGACAGAAGTCTTCGTCCAAATTTTGTTTGTCATTAACCACATGTTCAATGAGAACATTTTGAGTATGGTATATCCACTCGTCGGATTTGGTATTATCATGTTGTGCAAACGCCCACATCCTACTAAAGTGTTTTGGAACCTTGTATCCCTATTCTGTATAACTCTCATCTTTGTGAGAGTGTTTTTCAGTCTTCCTGGCTTTTGTATTGATACTAAAACTTTTGCATCAGACTCAAAAGACTCTTCCACGTTCAATGTATTGAGATATCAAATGAACACAACGTCTGTGTACTGTTCTGCAGGGGCTGAAAACAGTTACAACCACATGTCTCCTATTTACATTATTGGAGTATATCCGGTAAGCTCGTATATGGCATCGTCATTTGTGTGGGACATTATTTGTTTATTTGCCATTCTTCTACATGTGAGTATGATGCGATCCAATGGGTATTGGACACAACAATATCTACTCCGCCGCCAGTGGTCCAATTTGATCATCGAAAATTACAGGAGAAGTCTTGTCAATAAATTAAAGCCGAACTCATTTGGAGAAATATTGTTTGTTGTTGAGACTATGACGGAGAGAAATGAACAGGACTTGGACTATTTACCTTATAAAAAACACGACTTGTTTATTGTTGAGAACATGCAAGTTGATGGTTCACTTTATGTGAAAAAAGGCGCCAAAAAAGGGTTGATTCGTTGTGAAGATGTTCAGATATATACTCCAGATAAGAAGAAGGAAGAAAAGATAAAAACCAGGAATGTGAAGCCACAGCATAAAGACACGTATGACGAAACATATTCAGTGGAAGAAGAGATCACAGAAAAGGATGAGTTTGACATTATGGCTGATGCCAATGCGATGTTATTTGTCGAAGCCGAGTTACAAATAAATAAAAAAATTAATATGAAACAGATCGACAGTTACTTGATGAAACAAGAACGTTTCCTTCGCGAGGTCGACGAGATCGAATCACACAAAAGTAAAACAAAGAAGTGGCTCAAAAATGTTGGGGTTGTATTTAAAGGCTTCTTCGACTCTGTGGTGAACGATAAATTTAAGAGGGGGGATGATTATTATATCCCAATGTTACTTTCAGAGGTGTTGTGTTTCCTCTTTTTGGTCATTTTCCAAGGAACGTTTACAAATATCGATGGCAGTTTTGTTGAATTCTTCACTGGCGATTATCTCCCGATCAGTTATGTGTTGGGGTTGTTCTTGCAATTCTTAATGATCATTACCGATCGTATTATTTATCTGTGTAAGTCGATCACCGTCAAACTTGTCATGCAATACTTCTCATTGTTGTTGTACCACATATTGATATTTATTGTCTATCCATCACTCGTCGATAAGATGACTGGAATTGCGACAGTGTCGTTAGTCATATTCTACATCTTCAAGGTGATTTATTGGGTGTTTTCTGGTCTTCAAATAAAAAGTGGGTATTTGGTGTTGTCTTCAAAACGGATTTTGATGAAGAACTACTCCTACGTCTCTTCTCTGATATTTTCGACATACTACACGTTACCTTTCGTCTATGAAATCCGAACAATCCTCGACTGGACATTTGCGAAGACTTCGATGTTCTACAAGATGTGGCTCAAGGTAGAGGACATTCACGCAGAGTTATACATGAATCAGTGCGACAGAGAAATTGAGAGAGGGAAGAATCATGTATATGGGGAGTCACGTGGTGTCATGGAAAAGTTGACAGGAGGGTGTATAATGGTTGTCATCATATTTGCGATTTTGTGGTTCCCTCTTTTGTTGATGTCCAGCGCCGCGCCCAATTTCATACAACCGGCCCCGAGCAACTTAGATTTGTCTATGTCATTTATAGGAAGTAGCAAATTCTTTGACCAAGAAAACACGGAGTTTCCCGAACTTACAGGACCTGAGTGGAAAAAAATACAAGAGAATGGAGCACACGTGGTCAAACAAGATGCCTCTCAATGGATATTTAAAACGGTTCTTTCACTTGAGTCGATGTCTTTCTGGTCACTAACACCGTCGAAACAAGAAGCCTTAAATGCAAGTTTTTGTGACAACAAAAGTGTGAGTATAAAAACAGTACTAACAATGAGTCGTGCGGAGAGTGCGGCGTTGAACACATTTTCCCTCATCGAGACGTACACGTTGAATGACGAAGAAATGAAAGTCATGTGTGATGTGTCGCAATACAAAGAACCTCCATCAACCTTTTATCTTGAGTTCTTCCCACAATTTGTGAGAATGCCAACATTGTCGGAGAGTACTTTACTTCGATACGACCAATCGAATATCTCATTAACACCACATTTAATAAAAGATAAGAACACTGGTCTGTCATATTGGAAATTTGTGGCGCCGGAGAATAGCGAAACTGCAGAGATGTACATTGCATCACCTAACGTTCCAAATCAAGGCGTAATCTCGTCATTAAGTTCTATGGGGATTATCGGGCTTTATACCGTCGTCGTCTTGACTTTGTATAACCTTATTAAGTCGGACTACGCAAACCAAGCTCACCAAATCATGTTCAAAAACCTCCCACAATGTCATGGACTTCTACAACTGTCAGACGATATCATTATCGCAAGACAGGATGGG